ACTTGTAATTGAAAAATGAAAAGTACTACGAATTTTAAACCTTTTTAAAGGATTTTTGTCTTGTATAAAAGATTTCTCTATAAATATAAAAAGAGTATCCCCGCAGCAAAATGTTACTTTTAGCCTGGCATTTTTCTTGCCGGGGCTCGCGCGACTTCAAATTGCCAACTTAGTTGTTATTTGTTGGCTGTCTGGCTAAGAGGAAAGCGGACCGCAGTGCGAAGGACGAGGCCAGAAGGGCACACGAAGGGATAGGGACAGAAGGCAGGAAGCAGGGGGCAAGGGCAATATTCGTGGACGCAGCACTCTGATGGCTCTCACGTCACCACTTCTGCAAATTGCGGCAATAATGCAACAAAGGTTTCTTGGGAAACACACACCAAATTGCATAAGCAAGGCCAGGCCGGGGGGAGGAGAGTATAGGTCCTGCTCCTGCTCCTGCTCCTGCTCCTGGTCTGGGTCGTGTGATCCTAGTCCTGGGAATGAGCTACTGGGAGCCGCGGGGATGGATGTTCGCTACTTGGCGACTGAAAGACGGCGTCAGTCACTTGGCCGACAGCCGAACCCTCCTTCCTGCATTTCATTTTCAATTTGATTTTTTCCTCTTTTCGTTTTCGCCTTAGTTTTTCCTTTTTTTAAGGTCCTTGGCCGTTCCCTTCTTCTCCCCCGCTTTCCTTTTGTTTCTGTTTACATTTTCACTGGTGCCGTTGCGGTTTCCGCTTTTCGTTTTCGTTGCAACATTTTTGTTTGTAATTTACTTTGGAATGCTGGCGCCATAGTCCTCGTCGTCGTCTTGGTCGTCGTCGTGCGGTTTTCTAAGAAAAATCTCTAGTCGCCGTAATTGCTGACTGCAGTGGCGGTGACGGTGCCCCAAAACAGTGACTGCGACTGCGACTGCTGGCAGGCAAATCAACTGTCACCCAGTTGAGGGACCACGGGCGGTATGAGCAATCTTGCATTCCTCATACGCAGCGTGGGCCCGCGCTCCCTCTCTCTCTCTCCCTTTTTAAAGGTATAAGGACTCTTTAAGGAGCCACAATTTAAATTTTCATCCTTGCATTTATGTGCGGCCATAAATTTCATTCGGCTCTATAACCCAGTTCAACACGGAAATTGACTATTCCCGGCCAAGTTGTTGTTGTTTGCTGCTGATGCTGCTGCATAACGCAAACAAAGGACGAAGGACAAGGGACCGAATCCGCTGGCGCTTACACAAGACCCTTGGCATACCCTGCTGCATCGCATCGAATACATGTGGGCCTGCGATGGATTTGTCAGCGCAAGTTTGTCGTTACGGAACTGTTTTGTAAATGCTGTCTGCAGTTACATGCATCTCCCAGTCCTAGTCCCAGTCCCACTCCCATTTAGCTGCCCTTTAGGAATACTACAATCCCTTGATGTATTTTTTTTTTTTTTTTTGGAGTCAGACTCATCCGCCCGCCGATGATTGCTTGAGTGGTTATGCCGCTGCAGGGAGCATCGCAGGGGGATGCAGCTGCCACCATCGCTGTCATCTGCCACTAGAGTGACACAAGCACACTCCTATCCGGTAACTCACTCCCTCACAAGTTGGGCTATGCAAGTACAGTGAGTCCTAAGTTTGTCATCGGAAATTATATCGAACGAAAAGCCTTTTGACGGTTTTTTAAAATTCCCATTGGTCCTATAATTTTGGCCGCGTTTGTGGCTCCACTTAAAGGTTTAAGTGACACCCGCAGGCACAGTCCATGTCTCACCCATATAGTATGTATATGTATATATCCTTGCCAGGCCAGTCTTCTCTCTTCTCTTGTTCAGATTCGGCGACCACAATGGCTTCAAAAAGGGCTTGGGAGCAGGGGAATACCCTAAATACCAAATCGCCAGGTGTTGGTTACACCTCTGTTCAGCGTCCATCGTCCGCTATCCTCCGGCCTTCTTTTCATCCTATCCCTTCTCTCACTTTTTTTCGTGTTTGTTCCAAACAATTTGCGATGCCACCTAGCAGCCGCCCCCCCCCAGCTCGCTTACTTATTCATTTTCAGCCAACATCCTTTGATCCCCCCATGACCTGTGACCCCGCTCCACAATGCTCCACTCCACTTTCGCCACCCTAGTGCTCATTCCCATCCGTTAATTGTCGTTTGTCCGTTGATTCCAGTTGCTAATTTCTGTTGTCCATTGGATCCGCTGGGGTGCCGGATGAGGGGATTTGGCACTGTCACCGGCACCGACACCGGCCGCTGGGCACCTTTTGCAAAGATCAGCGGGTGCTTCCCACACGGGCACACTGTGCTGTACTGTGCTACGAGGAGGTCATAGAGGAGGAGAACCGGTAGGTGGCCAAAAGGTGTTGTATTGTGTTGTGTTGCTGCGGTGTCCTTCGCCCCCGCTGCCTTTGTGTGGCAGGCGACAAAAGAAAGCCACTGGCAACAACAGCTACCACCAGAGCTACCAATGGCATCAAGCTGGTACACTGAAAGAAAAGATTATAAGTGATTTAATTGGGGAAAATGATATTGGAAAAATTAAGTCAGGAATTCAGGAATTTCCTGAAGTGAAATAATCTAAACAAAGTCTGAAAAGGTTGTAAATCCATTTCTTTGTCTTAGGATCTTCTTCAGAATTGGTTCCTTTGAGGGTAGAAGAGGGTTTCAATTTCGTAAGGCTGAGTTTAAGTCAGCTCAAGTCCTGTCTGCACATACAGGAAGTCCTGTCTGTTTCTTAATTGAAAATCAATTAATTTTCTAAAGCAAAATAACAGGTTCATCACAGACTTTAAGATCTACACAATCCATTTGTTTTTGGCGGTTTTTTTTGGCAGTGTAACAGTAGCCAGCATCCAAATAAAGGACACTGGATGAGGATGAGGATGAGGACAGAGGACAGAGGACAGAGGACCCAGTAGAGCATCCAATAGTATTATGAGCGCTGGATGGCTGGATGCCTGCTGCTGCCTCCCTCGGAATCGGCAGAATCGGCTTGATTCCTTGCCTGCTGCCGTCCTCGCTCCGATTGCAATTAATTCTGGGTATTCGCATCACGTTCCGGATCCCATCACCAAACAATTTCATACGTATTAAATGCAATGTCGAAAGTGAAAACACAATCTCCGTTCCGATTCCCTTTTCCACCCCCAGCCAGCCATCCGTCCGGTTGGAGAAGTGATTCGGCGGGGTTCGAAGTGGGACATGCCCTTCAGGACAGGAAGTCCTTTACCAAATTTGTTGGTTTAGAGAAAATATTATATGAAAAATGTGGGAGAGTTTTTGCACTAGCAGGTTGTTGGGGTTTTTTTTTAGATTAATTTCGTGATACTTGTAACTTTAAAGTGTAAGTTTAACTCTTAAACATTTAAGTTTGCTTACTTTTAGATACTCTTCCACTGGGAAAAAGGTTTAAATATAATTTGGGAATTTAGGTATATATAATATATATATGCTGCTTGTATTCTTGTTGTACTTATATCCTTATATCTACCTTAAAAACAAACTTCTATTACTGTCATCTTGCTCTTTGGTTCTTTGCTTTTTTTATGCACTTAAATATATATATTTATCGGGTTCAGGATTTCCAGTCAATCTTAATTATCTTGGCCCTCTTTTTCCACATATTTACTTAATTTCCTTCATTTCGATTTGATTCATTTACTGGTTTATTTTTTTTACTTTTAATTTTTTGTTCATTTCTAATCTTTCTAAGTCTTTGCTTCCTTGGAGCCTTCGTCCTCTAACTTTATTATTGTTCATTGCTGGTTTTGAACAATGTCGCCAGCATTCAAGTTCACCTGCAGAAAGGCTCCTCCTGCCAGGGTCCTCCCTTATCTGCGTCTGTCCTGTCTCGGTTCCATTAGGATATTTGCCATGCGACGACCCGTGGTGACAAGGAGTGAATATTCTTTTTCTCTTGCCTCTCGGAGCCATCAAATAAAGACGATTTAATTTCATTAATTTGCACACACCTCCTGGAGGGACCGCCCATTAGCTACTCCTGCTACTCCTCCTCCTCCTCTGATGTCTTTCATCCACAAAAATGTTCTCTTAATTTTTGTAATTTGTTGTCTTGCTGTGAGACCAGAAGCAGCAGCAGCAGCAGCAGGATCAATGGACATGGAAGGCGGAGGCATCGGAGTAATGGTTTTAATGTCAGCTATCAGGCCATCAGCCTCCGGTTTGTGGTCTCTTCAATGCGTCTCCGGCAATGAGATTTGCATATTGTGGGAGTGATGCCATCAGGTGAGGGCCGGGGCTTTTCCTCCCAAGTACCATTCCAGTGATGTGGAAAAATGCCATCCTAGCCAGGGATTGGGGCAATGACTGGCCGAAAAAAAAAAGCAAAAGCTACCAAATCTAAACAAAAACGAAACGGAACGGATACCCAAACAAACTCAAATCAGAGGAAAAAGCTACCTTCGTCTGTCACTCACCTCCAGAGGTGGGAAAATCATCAGGATGCTGTACCTAGTTTTGGGTAAATGGTACACAGTTTTGGTAACCTTACCTTGGTTTATTTTCAAAGTGTACCTTTAAATAAATTTCCCCTTAATATACTATGTACCATATGATAACTCTAGATTACTCTTGGGCCTCATCCACAGCTCTTTAATTAGAGCCAGTCGCGTACCTAATGAAGGAACTGCTTACCCTTCTCATCACTGCTCGTATTAACATATATCCCCCCTTTATTGCTGCATTTTGGGCAGGGGGAAAGGGACTCGACTCGTCTCGTCTCGGCTTAGCATGAAAGCCCGTCAAAATATTGCCTACGAAATTAATTTTGACATATGCCACAATGAGTGAAGGCTCACACCGGCAAGGGGTAAGTGGCCGGCGGGCAAAGGGGGTCAAAAGCGCCTGTCACGGTCGCCACGCTCGGTGTCTAAATTATATGTTATCCCCGCACATAAGCCGAGCTCATCACACACACATATATATATATATATATATATTGCAATGATTGGCTGCCAGTTCCCCATTAAATCTTTCTCTAAACATCATGATCATCACAAAAAAACGAACAGAAACGTTTAATTTATTCAATAACGAACATTTAATAAGCTTGAGTTTTACTTTATATGTTTCTTATCTTGAAGAAATTCTAATGCTCACATTGAATAGCCAACCCTATGACCTTGAGCTGCTCCAGAGGCCTGAAGCCAAAAGTGCTTCGTCTTAGAAAGACTGTCACGTGCCTTGATGTGCTGTCAAGTTACGAGTTCCCCTGATAGACGTATTTCTAGCAACACCATCTGGTCCAAGGTGCAGACTACAGAGTCGAGTACCTATACGGATTTGCATAAAAAATAACCCTAAGTCTTACTTTTTGCTATGTGTAGGCTTTATGCTAGCTTACCGGTTTTGTTTTGTTAAGAAAACTGACAGAATTAATACAACTTCCTATGCTTTAATGTGTTTTAGAGTTGAAACCAAAGTCAATGTAAAATTTATGGAATAAATGTTGACACCTATTTTTCAGTATCCATTTTTTCTTTGAACCATTTAAATTATCTTTCAGATCTCTTGATTCATCCTGATGTACAGACGTACATGTCTAAATAGACTCGGCTGCTGATTAATAAAACAGGAGGCAGAGAAGTCTCGGTTGACACCAAGGTAAGGCAGGCCTGTCGCCACAATCGGTGTCTGAATCCAAGCCTTTATACGATAAGTTATATTAGATTGTACATTTCGATCGAAGCTATATAATATAATAAATGGACAGAAGCTGTGCCTTAAACATCATAAGCTTTGCATTTTCTGATAGTTACTTCTCAAGTTCCAGTCCAAAATCTCATACATGCCGGAAGGATCTCATTAAAGACAATTTTTCGTACACAGTCACACAAAGAAACAATGTCACGCACGGCCTGAAAAAGAAAATCCAAATTACAATTAAACACTATATATCAGCGATATCGGCAGCGCATATCTCGTGATCGATATATATATATATTTTGATATAGGAAGTGCGAGGAGCCAAGTGAACCGGAACTGGATGCCATGGGCACGACCGCCACGCGCCATCTGTCCTCCGAGGAGCTACACCTAATTCAGACGGAGAGCGGATTCTCGCTGCCAAGGATTGACTATCTGTACGGGCAGTATCAGTCGCTGGATCGCGACTCCGAGGATCGCATCCTGCGCAGCGAAATGCTGCGCGTGCCCCCTTTGGCAGGACATCCGCTGGCGGAGCGGATTGTGGACGTGTTGCTGCACCCATCGCTGGGGTTCCGGCATTTCGTGTGCGGTCTGGCTCATTTTCGGCGCAGCGAGCCGCTGGAGCGGAAGCTGAAATACATGGTAAGCCTGTACGACGAGGACGGCGACGGGATGTTGAGCATGGAGCAGTGCCAAGAGCTGATCGCCCGTCTGCCGGTCTCGCCGCGAGAGGTGCGAGTGATGCGCTGGCGTCTCAAGCAGCTGCTGGCCGAGAAGACGCAGCTGGATGGCCAGGACTTTGGCTACATAACGCGTGGCCTGGACCTCGACCAGTGCCTGTCGCTTCGATTCTGCTGAGGTGTGGAGGCAGGACTCACCCGACCCACTCCTCACTCCCCCAGGTCGCATGCACAGACACACGCACGCCCCACTTGCACTGGCAGTGAATTGCATATCCTTTCGCCGCTCGCATAACATCACGTGGCAAAACTTTTCACATAAACGCAAAAGTTAAGTCATTCCTGAAAATTGTTTCTTGAATTTACTCGCGCACTTGCGCCGCGCCTGGAGGAGAGTGGAGAGTGGAGGAGGATGCCGAACGGAAGAATCGAGGACGCAGAAGGAGGAAGAGGAGCAAGAGGCGGGCTGGGAACATGAGCACTCCTCCTCAATGGCACTTGAGCTCGTCCTCATGCCAGCCATGACTTTTGTGTCCTTAACCCGGCGGCAGACACACACACACACACACACACACACACACACACACACACACACACACACATGCCTGTGTCCTGGCCCCACTCCCACACTGATCCAAAATGTTAAGTTGTTCCAAATCGAATTGTGCATATTTTGTATGAAATGTTAATTACTTGGTTCAGTTTTCGAATTGTTTAATAACTTTTTAAGTAAATGAATGTAGAGCTTAAATCAAAATGTGTGTTTTCTAATTTCTTCCAGTGCATGCTCTGCGGCACTAGACCATCTTGGGCACCCGCTTGCTCCCCTGCCTTCACTCTGTTTACCTTTCCACGGACAACTTCTGCTCAATCCGACAGATTGCTCATTTGCTCTGCTTGAGGTCACCTGTTACGGCACGTATGTATGTGTGTGCAAGTGAGAGGGCGTGTGGGGGTGTGTGGGTTTTTTGGGTGTGCGGTGCAGCCCTACTGGTCTCATTTAAGCATTCGGTGGGTCATTCATCATATTGAGTAATTGGCCAGGACCCAGACTTCAGCTCTGGGTTCGATTATCCACATGGCTAATTCGATCGATTGGATGCTGACCCTGTCTGAGGTCGGGTTTTCCTCTCAGCTCCTACGGCCATCATCTGGTGGTGTCCTTCTTGGCACGTCATAAGTCGCCCAGCGTGCTCCAATTTGCAACCATTGTGTTGGTTTCAGGATAATCATCATATGACTCTGGGATCTAGATTACCCTGAGTGTATTCACACCTCCTCCAATCAGTCATCGATAACGATAATTGGCTAACATGAATATAAGCTTACAAAAAACGTATCTAGATTTCGGTTATGATGAAACCTCAACGCATGAGATACCGATAAGGAAGACAAAGAATTGTTTTTAAGCAATTATTCGATCTGAGAAATTTAATTCTAAATAATAGATATTTTATGAATTCATTTAGGAGTAATCGAAGTAGAAGTAGAAAGTATTGAAAATTTCGATGTCTAAAAGTATCGATTGGCTTTGAAGTTTTCCTGCAATAGGGAGATTGCGAGACAGAGAGAGAGAGATACCTTAATGCCTTATTTAAACTGATAAAAGATCGATAAATTTTGATCTTTTGCTAATGAGAGAGCGGGTGAGTCGACTTTGACTCGATTGTTAAAGCGAGAGTCGGCTGTAGAAGTCAAAGTTGATACGTTGATGATTCGTTAATGAATCGTTGATGAATTTGGCTATCGGAAATGATTGCAGATCCTCAAGTTATTTGATAACAACCTCTCACATTCACATTTAATATCTAGTGTTCATTTGTCTCTGTATCATGGTGTTTATACCAAGTTCCTGCAATACCAACGTACCTTATTTACACTGGTATAATCGGCTTCCAGTTCATCCCCGAGCGCTTCACACCTGCCTTGTACGTTTCCCATTACGAAATTAGCCCGGATCAAGGTCTCTCCTGGGTGGACAAATCGCATTGTAAGTGAGATTTCGGCTGGGATTTCGCGGAGATCTCGCGGATGACAGCGGGTGCCCGGACTTTGCTGTGGGTGGGCCCGACCCAGGGAGCTGTACCAGACTATTCCCGGCTCCAGCGCCATACTCTCTGTCCGTTTCACTTTGCTGGTTTTTGCGACTGATTGCATTTTTATCCATTTTATACACAAAATCCATGAAATATGCACACTAACTCATGCGTATTTTATAATAATAAAAGCGCACGGTAAAGTGGCAAGCAGGGGAAGTACCGGAGAGCTGGTGAGCTGGAGTGCTAGTGAACTGGTGGGGGAATCCGCCGTCGCGGAACTGGCTGTCAGTTGTTGCCACCTCGTTTTCGCCCTCATTGTGGTCCTCTTCCTCCCGCCTGAATGCAAAGACAAAGGATGCAGGCGACCGGAGCCGGGACAGACAGCTGGCATCCACATCCACGGGGAAGCCTGACAGTTGGGACTTCCCAGACTCCACTGCTGCAGTGCTGCAGTGCACCGCTCCTCCGCCGTAAATCTCTTCACACGTGCCCAGGTGGGCAACTTGTTAACGCTGCTCTCTGGCTGCGGCGCTTCATCCACCTGACATATGGCAAATCGGTTCTCCCGACCATCGAGGATGTGGCGTGTGTAACAAGGTTAGCTTAGCGACTTACTCGGTCAAGGCATCGTCCTGCCCACGGTGGATCACAAGCGGAGATGGCTGTATAAAATGTATAATGTATATTATTCAATATATAATCCAATATATTAATATTCTGTTAAGTTCTATATAAAGAATCAATCTAGAAAACTTAAAGTTTCTAGTTGATATTGCAAATTATGTGAAAATAAGATTTCATATTTTGGGGATAGCCCCGATCTGGGATATGATGCCCTAAAAAGCTATTCTATTGACACTTTTTTACTTGTAAATTCAAGTTACTGACCCACTGTGCCTCTTGTGCCTCCCTCGGGTAAATATTTAAGGCGCCGTTGGCGTCCTCTTAACTCCGCTTCCTTTAAGATGGTTTGGTGGTTAGAGGTGCAAGTGCAGCCTAAGCCATTGAGTGAGAGGATCAGGGTGAATCTGGGAACCTCAAGCTGGAGATGGAAGACTATAAAGGAATATAGGATAAGCATAGGAATAAATTAGAGCATCAACGGCCACAGGCTTGAAATTATAATATATATTATATTATATATTTCTGGATAGAAAACTTGGGTTTTTAGTTTGTTTAAAATCCAACAACTTTACATATTATGGTAAAGCTACTATAAAAAAGGGAGTTTATTATATTGAAAGCCCCTTTCAATACCCCAGAAGCTACAACACTCCGACAGCTACTCTGATTGCCTCGCTGATCAATCGCGGCGTTGCCAATCAGCGATTGAGCCGTCGTTTTTCGGCCAACTGGGCCGCGGGCGTAATTCAATCGAATGGCACAGGCACACAGCCACAGCCAGGACTAACCAGGACCAGAGACAGCCCTCGAAATTCCTCTCCATCTCCTCATGGCTTCCCAAATAATTTCGCTTACAATTTGCCATATTTTGTGTCACGCTTTGTCTTCGTTGCAATTTTTATGCATCGCGGTTGGAAAGGATACGAAAGGGATCCATGGCAGGGAAGGCGTGTGAAAGGGGTGTGAAAATGGGATCCTGGGAAAGCTGCATGTGCAAGCTTCTTTGGCTCGACTACACTCAGTCCCTTGCCCGCACCCTAGCCAGTGCCTTATCCTTTTTATGCTCCTGCAGCTGCTTAAACGTGTTTCAAATACGCAATTTCCTCCCACTCGATGAGAGCTGGCTGGAATTTGGTATCCGAATTTGCATCGGCGGGCAAGACGCACTCCTCAGATAGAGAGTGGAGTGGCCAGGAGGCGCATCTGTAGCTGCTCGGAATACGAATGTTACATTTTTCGCGCTTCATTTTATTAGACATCATATAAACATGTTATACCGCTGTCGTTCTACCCACCTCCCCTTGCACCAACAGCTTCTATAGTCGGGGAACTAGTATGTATTTGTGGTTAAAGTAATGGTAGAACACACAGTTCGTCTGCATAAGGCAGATTTTGTACTACCAAATATTTGAGGTAAGAGAATAAACATCGTCTGCCGTTTATAATAAATTCTCTATCGAGCGAGAACGCGCTCGCGAGATTGCAACAACAAATCTTGATTGTTTGCTGCACATTCTTTCTCTTTCTTTAGCTCTCTTGCTGCTCTTAAGAAAGTCTTGAAAGATATGGCTTAAGTAAATACAAATAAAAGTAAAAGTAACAAACATAATTTATCGTTAAAAATTAGAGTAAAAATGGCTCGATGCCGCTTTCTCGAGATTGCAGCAACAAATCGTGTGTGTGTTACGCTCATCCCTTTCTCGTTCTCTCTCGCTTTCATTTTTTTTCTCTTAAGGAAGTCTTCCAGGAACTGGCTTGAGTAAATACATATAACCGGTATTGGAATACTGGAAATACTAAACGTAAAAGAATCAACATCACTTCGCTCAACGGCGCTCTCTTGAGAACGACACAACAAATCCTGATTGCTGATCACAGCTTGAACATTTTGTTTGATACTCTCAATTACATAACTGATGGCTCTAGAATCTAAAAAAAGTGATCTGCCTTGTTTAAATTTGAGTAACTAGGACCTTTTTTTATATATTAAGTGTGATATAAATATTTTTATAGTAATTCCAGCTGCTCTCCTGGCCCGCTTTATTTGGCTCTGGGCTCATACTCGGGGGCTCAAGCTTATTTATAATCATGTCGAAGTATTATCCTCCGCCTCAGCCATTGGATCAGCAGAAGCAAGGAGCCAGGGAAGTCAGGGCAAAGGACCTGGGCAGGAGAGCGGCTGCTGTGCACTGTGTTGTTACTCTTCATGTTAACATGTGTTCAAATCGTTAAGGCGAGAACTTTGTGCAAAATTATTTGCTACAAAACACTCGAATCGTGTTTGCGCCTGCCTTTACTCCATCTCCATGCCCATGCCCATGCCCATGGCCGTGCTATCCTTGTCTCCGCCTCCTATGGACCGTAGTACCATCTCTGTCGCACACTGGGGCGCCAAACACAATACAAACAACAGCTCATTGAGTTTTGGAAAAGTTGTTAACATGAACATTTGATGTCACAACGCTGCCTGCTCCTGCCTCTCTCTATAGATGTGAGTGTGTTTGTGTGTGGATAT